AAAACGGAGAATGGGAGTGACGGTTTCGTTGTCTACATTTTCAGTCGAATATTTATATTTTCTTTCACCAAAAAAAAAAAAATCTTTTTTCATGATGAAGAACTCATTCATTTATCCACTATATTTTGAAAACGCTTGTCTAAAAATAATGGAAAAATTCTCTCCCACCTTCCAAAATAAAAAACTTCTTAAATGTTAAAATTGAAACAGAGAATTGGCAAATTTTTCATATTTAAACATCTTATTATGAAAATAACTAATGTATTACTCCCTTTGTTCTTTTTTATTTGTTTTCTTTTGAATTAACACACCTATAACATAATGAGTTTCCTATTTTACCTCTATTAATTAAGAAGTGAATAAATTTTTTACATTTTTTGAAATAATCAATCATTTAATTAAAAATATAATAGAAAAACACACAAATAACTAGAGATGAAATAAGTATTTGTTACTGTCGATTCTTTCCTAAAAAGTAAAGGTAAAAATAAAAGGAGAAGATAAAAAATAGGCTGGCAACAAATTTCACATTTCCAACAGAAAAAAAAAAGTGAATAAAAAATGGAGTGCTTCATAAAATATAAATGGAGTCAAAGTTTCGTCTCAGCAAAAGCAAAGAAAGGGAGGAAGAACATATATTCACTCTGCGAATTTGGATAGAGAGAGAAAGGAAAATGGAGACTCTACGCCAAATTCGAGCTAAGAATTCATATTCTCTTCTTCTTTCTCTTCTATGGATCACTCTTCTCTCTTCATCCATATCCGCAACTTCACCTCTTTCTCAGTCAGATCAGGTTTTTTTTTTACTTTTCAGCTGCAGTTTTTTCGTGTTCAACGAACAATTTATTTCTCTGTATGATTAGTGTTCTGCCTTGGATCGAAAAGGATGAATTTCTCTTCATGATGTATTTTTTTTTTGAACTCTTATTCATGTTAGGTTTTAAATGCATAATTTATGGAATTTGAGTTTATGTATATTTCTGTTACTGGTTTTATGTCGTAATTATTGAACTAAATTAACCTTACGATAGCTGTGGTTTTGGCTTTAGCTGAATGTTAGTAATGCTTGATTTGAATTACTTGCAATCATTAGTGATGACCTATTTTATTTGTCTTGTTTTGAATCTGTTTGCATTTGGAAATCACTTTTTGGAGCTGGTGATTTTCCTGGCTGACCACATTCAATTTTTTGTGCATAGGGTACGGACAAGCATGCGACAAGGTAAGGTTTTATTTCGGTTTATAGTTGTAGCTCGTATTGATTCCTTTTTTTGGAAATTATGTTTTTGAAAATAAATGTAAGAAGCCTCTTAAAAGTACATTTGAAGATATTTTCTGAGGCAATAAGTTGTATCATAGTTCTCTATCGGAAAATAAAGAAGAAAAGTTGTATCATGGTTAAATCTTCTTGTTTTTCGTCTACGCCTTATGTTCCTTTTCAGCAGGATACTGTATGAGATAAATTCTAGATTTCAACTGTATTACTAAAACATGTTTGAAAGCAATCCATATTAGATGTGCCATTCCCTTGAAGTTGTCACTTATCTGAATTATTTTCTTTGCTGCTCTGAAGTCCCGCACAAGACAAATCACATGTTCACGAAATTCATTGCTCCAGAGAGAGAAGCCGAGCTGCCTGGAAAGTTGTTGAGGAGGTATCTGCAAAAGTACTTCGTTTGACTCAACTTAAGCTCTGCTGCAAATACGGGACTGAAAATTGCTCTTTTACTCTTTCTGTGTTGTGCAGTACTTAATGCCCTTTGTAGAAAAAGAGAAGTATGAGCTTCCTAGGCAGTGTAGACTTCATCCGAGTAATGATCTTTTCAGAGATCAGGAGGAACATAAAATTCATCTTGATGTGAATGAATGGCGCTGTGGATACTGCAGAAAAAGCTTTCGGGCTGAAAAATTTCTTGATCAGCATTTTGACAACAGGCATTCCAATCTTCTAGACGTTGTAAGCATCATATACTGTTCATGTTTTTGTTCACTCCAAATTTTAATTTATTTCATATGGTTTCTGCAAAAAATTAAAAAAATATTCTGAACATTGGATGAGAAAACCAGCCTTGATGCACTCTTCTGTAGTATGGTTATTCGTTTGGAATAGTTCATAACGTGATAATAAGTGATAGTTCGATTGTCCCTAATAAGTCGTGAGTTATACGAATAAGATTATCAAATTGATAGGGAATCTCTGGCTGACTGCTCTTTATATTGCACACGATGTTGGGTGTCTGTGAGCTGCTGGGTTGGTTGCCTCATCTTGTCTGTGTTATAAATTGTGTAGGTCTAAGGGGATGGAGATGGATCTTCAAGAATAAGGTGACAAAAGTCCACAGACGATTGTTTTTATTAAGAGCTATATGGGGCTTTCTCAAAAGATCTATTTGGGGATTTAGGGAATCCATTTTGCGGTCCTTCCTTTTCTCAGGGAAGTACTGACAACCCAAATCTAGTTTTCCTAATAAACTACTAAGCTTATTTCCCCACTTTTTTTATTTTTATGCATCTTCAGTTTGAGGGTCAGTTCTAGTTTCAGGATGAATCCAGAGTTGTATCCTTCTCTTTTTTCACCAACATTATTCATACCTGTGCTGTCTGGACTCAGTAGCTTATCATAATTTACCAGCATCTAAGTCTTGTTTCATGGAGATGATTACAAATTATAAATTAATGAGGTTTATAAACACCTCAAAAAATGAAGGGGGGGGGGGGGTAAAGCCCCATATAATGTCACACACGTTTGGGTAGCGTGTGATCCATGGTAGAAACTAAAGTAAAAAATTTATGCTGAATGTTGCATTATATATTCAGAGATGAGCAAATTTATCTATTGTTCCTGGAGGGTTAAGTGGACTATTCCAATATATTTTGTCGGACGAGATATTTTTGGAGGTTGAGATCACACCCTGCTTTCATTTTAAGTTCCTTGACTGCTATTTTAAAACAAAAGCTTGTAGCGCCCTCTGGTGAGAACATATGTTCATCAATGGTCAATAGCATCAGCTTAGTAGTTATTTTAGCAAGTTTTCTGGTGTGATGGTAACTCTTCTAGATGGGTCCCGCACATACATCAAGTACGTTTGCAACTCTTGTTCAAAGAAAATGATTTTGATTTCAGTTTATAGCAAGAATCTTTTTGAACTAGCGACTTCTTTCATTATGCTGTAACTGATTTCATCATAGTATTCGAAAACCAAGTGGAATTGAACTGACCATGTTATTCTTTCTGTTATTTTTATTTCATAAGATTCATAGCTTGGTCCAGGTTGGGCCACTGACGAGTGTGTCAGGAAGTTAAGAGTATTCTATTATTTACCATGTTTTGATTTTTGAACTAGAATAATATTTTATAAGGCATGAAGTAATCTTAGCATATGATCTCATGTCTCAGGATCAAAGCAAATGCCTGGCAGATGTATGTGGAGCTTTGCATTGTGACCTTGTGATGGAAATCAAATCCCAGAAGACCAAGTGTAATCCTGCGGCAGCAGCACGAAATCGTCATTTATGTGAGGTTATCTTCTGAACATAAGCCTATATGTCGGATTAGTTTGCCTATTCTTTTGATTTCTCTTTGATATCAAGTCCATTGTTTCCCCATCTTTGCAGGGTCTTGCAGACAAATGTTTTCCTGCTAATCAGAGTCCATCATCAACTCGTCTTCATGGTATGCTTTCTCCATAGTGTTAGAATCTGAAGTAATTAAATAGTTTCTTCCACTTGTGATGATCTTTGGTTGGTTTGATGTCAGAACTATTCTTGCGCCAATTCTGTGATGCTCACACTTGCTCGGGAGGTAGAAAACCGTTTTCTAGAGGAGGAAAGGTATGGTTTGATTACTGAAATGACTTAATTATGTGCCTTCTGTTAAATCAAAATAAAAGTTGTACGACGGATTTATGGATTTTTGACCTATCTTGGGTATAACTTCATACGATACTCTACGGAGATGTAATCTTGTCCGGCAATTTCGCAAGGCACTTGCTTTACTTGTTCAAGTGGATATTGTCTCTACATTTTGTGATCTTTTCAACTTTTATGCATGTGACATTATATTTGCAGAAGCATACAAATCGATTCTACTTGGCAGCTTCAGTATTGACTTTGATGCTGCTCCCTCTATTTTACCTCATTGTCTATTTGTACCAAAGGTACTCGCTCAAAACTTAGCATCAGCTAGTCTCCATCAAAATTACATTGAAATAATTACTTCTTCATCTGCAGAGAGATGAAAAGCGGAACTCAAGAACTTAAGCGCATAGCAAAAGTTGGAAGAAAAGCAAAACCTTCTTAGCTGTGTACAGTGGTGATACTCTTTTTGGGTGAGGATATTTATCTATCTTGTTTAACTCATGTTGGAAAGAAATGGTTCCTTTGTCGTAATGCATGCTACAGCAGTCTATGAAATGTATTTCATTGAGAGCTGAAACATTTGCATCACGAAGGTATGCTATGGATTGACATTGTTCATCTTCTTCTCTTTTACAGGCATTTCTTGGTTGATAGTTCATTCACTGTTGCTGGATGATCAGAGATCCGAGGCAGAAGTCAATACATTTCCTCCGTCAGCATGGTACAATGCATCTGGGCATTTATCTCTTGTCAGCCTGGATCAACCGATATTGTTGAAGCAGAAGCTAAATTCTTACTCTGTTGTATCAATTCTCAGACCCAGAGAACAGTTCTCTTGAGAAGACAATCACGATCTCTTTTCTCTTTATGAACTGTACATTGGGAGAACATGAAAATTTTGTGTTGTAATCTGAAGTTCAATTCTTGGGGTGTGTTGACCAAGCATTGTTATGACTGGTTAGTGGTAAGCTCGGAAAAAAGTGTTAGCAAATGGAAAGACAAAGCAGTCAATGGCATCATTCCTTTTAACATTTTTCTTATATGCTCATTATCCAACCTATAATTGATGTTACATGAAAGACATAGGAGATCAATTCAAAATAGTATATATAGAAAACACTGAATAGACGACTGTGGACGACTTCCATTTTGGATACCAACTCGATATTTATGAAAAAATCTTGACTCGTAAATACAGGATTTTGATTATATAGTTAGGGTCAGATAACCATGTTACATTTACTGCTGTGTTAAATATGCTTTGCAACAGAAACCTTCCACTCTCTCCAATGTTTTGTTCAGCAGTATATACACACTCGCCTTTGCTCTATCATGTCGAAATACAAACCAACTGATGATCCAAGTATTGGGAGCTTCTTGTCTTTAACAACCTGCATTGCTAACAGAGCCATCCAGGTTGAAACTTATGGAGCTAACACATTGAACGCGAGGGATATTAACTCATTAGATAATAAGAAACCATCAGGGTCACTAAGCCTGATATATGCCAACACCTCATTGATCTTGTTCCCTTCAGATAACAAAGAGCTGAATTCTTCTGGGGAGATATCCCTCCTTTGCTCATCCAAGCAGATAATATGCCCACTCGCAATATGAGGCTTATAGACCTCACAGAGGGAGAGAATAGTCGAGCTGCCAAAAGCTTTGCCAAATGACTTCAAATCCAACCCTTTAGCAGTTCTCAAAGACAGCATAACGACATCCATTGCTACGTCTTGGGCATCTACTTTACTGTCCGGGCAACAATTCACTAGTCCATTCTCCAAATTTTGCACATAACCCATGTAATCTTTCAGCTTCCTCGGCCTTGAAAATCTTAGTCCGTTAAGATAGCTGGCTGACCCAAGTCCGAAAGCATAAAAAGGTTTGTTTACCCAGTATGTGTAATTGTGCTTGCATTGATAACCACTTTTGCAGTAGCTACTTATCTCATAGTGCTCATAACCAGCATCTCTTAGCATTTCAGAGGCCATTCTGTAAAAATCAGCAGCTTGATTTTCAGAAGGCAGAGGAAATTCCCCAGCCGTATACCTGTGGAAACAACAATTTCAGTTCAACAAGTGAATGTGTAAGTGTACTCACTATGAAAAGTGCAGGATATTTTTCCATTTACTTGTACAATATCGATGTTTAATCTTTACAGCTGAAATACCTCTTGCCATTGGAGTTATGGAGAAACTCTCAATAAAAAAGCATATAATATCATTTCATTGAAAATTAGCGGATAAAAGATGCCTCAATAACAATAACAACAACAAACCCCGTGTAATCCTACAAGTGGGGTAGGGAGGGTAGAGTGTAAGCAACCTTATCCCTAGCTTGAGGAGGTACAAAGATTGTTTCTAATTAAGACCCTCGGCTCAAAGAAAGATTTAAAAAAGAAACAGAATCAACATCAAGATAGTACGATAGTTGTGGCAAAAGAAACAAAAAGCAGTAATAACAATCTAAGAACATGAAAATACAAGAAATAAACTAATACTCCGGGCTATACTCAATCCGAAATCAATTTGAAAAGTAACTGAAAAGAGAGACTTGAAAAACATGCTGGCAAAGGAAAAAGGAAAATCTCAATTTTGGCAAGTGAAGGTTCAAGGTTGTATCACTTACAAAGATGCAAACTTTGTATCTTGCTCGACTTGTAAATCGTAAACTGACACATGTGTCGGCTTTGCTTGAATAGTGAGGCTCAAGCTTTGTTCCCACATATGCGGTTTCTGATGAGGAAGCGAAGATATAAGGTCCACACTCCAATTCTCAACACCACACCATCCAACTATGTCAATGGCCTCATGAATTTCCTGTAGACCATGCGCTCTCCCACAACTCCTAAGCAACTCCTCCTGGAATGCCTGAACTCCTAAAGACACTCTATTAACACCCAACTTCATCAAATCTTTCAATTTCTTAGCATCAAACGTACCAGGATCCATTTCTATTGAAATTTCAGCATCAGAACACACCCCAAATTTAGCGTCCAACGTCTCCATGACTAGAGATACTAATCTTGGTGGCACAAGTGAAGGTGTCCCTCCACCAAAAAATACAGTTTCAAGAGGTGACTTGTTGTCGGAAGGTATTGAAGTAGCTTTAATTTCTCTGCATAGGAAATCAATGTAGTTAATAATTCGAGGGTCGTCATCACCATAAGGTGAAGATGACCCCAATGCGACGATGGGGAAGTCGCAGTAGTGACAGCGCTTTCGACAAAACGGAAGGTGAAGGTAAGCTGAGGTTGGAGTATGCTGTTGTAGCAACATATTCTCCATTGAGGCATTTTGTCGAACAGGTTGTGTGGGGTTTGTTATTGCAGCGATAATTGTATTCGAGTAGTTGCGGGGGGTTTTGGCCTTAGAGGGAAAAGCCGTTAATATGGGAGTGAAAGTTGATCTCAACATTTTTTTGGGAAGGCCCAACGTATAATTCTTAGTAGTTCAAACTAATGGATAACTTTATGAGCATAATTTTCCTCTTTTAATATTTGATGGGTGGATATTCGTAAAGGTGATTGAATTGATATAATATATGATATTTCATAATGAAGTACATAGAATATTTATTTACGGTCATCATCTTCTCAGTCAAGATATTATATGAGAATTTGCCTGATATAATCAAATATTTTTATGTAATTACAAGCTATTGTATTAGAGCGATTTACTCGGTGCTCATAAAAAATTTAATGGGTGAACCAAGTAAAGAAGTCAAACCTCTTTATAAGTTATAACACATTGTTGTGTAGATATTTTTGAATTGGTATAAACGAATATGGTTATACCTTCTGTCTCAATTTATGTGGTTTGATAGAAAATTTACTTAAAATTTTTTTAGTTTTTTTGAAAAAAAAATTTAATTATTTGTGAACTACGTAGAAACTACTAATAAATTTCAATAATAATTAATTTAAAGTATTCAAAAGAATAAATTTTTGTTTAAATTGAAATTCAAATGTATCACGTAAATTAGGTTAGGATAGAAGATGCACAACATTATATAAAAAGGGATAATTGTATAGAATGACAAACTAATAATATAAAATAAATATAATAGCTATCGTTTGATTTATTTGTGTTCCACAGTAAACTGTTTGTCAATTCCTCTCTCCCTCATGTTCTCGCTCACCACTCTCCCGCTCTCGCTTGTGTTTTCAATTGTGTAAAGCTAGAGAAAATTATATATACACATGCAAATACATATATCTCCGTCTTATACACTTATAATTATACAAAAAGGATCCTTTTGGTAGGAGGTATTAATTAAAATTGTCGAGGAATTAAAATTTAGTCCAACAAAAATATTGTTTGGTCACTTTATTTAACCCAATCCATGGATTAGTTATACCTCATACAAGGTCTTATTAGCAATCCTTGGATAAGACTCCTAAATGACTAAATTATCCTCAATTTTTTCCCTTTTTTTTTTGTAATTAATGTTCTTTTTTTATTTATATGAGAATATTTATAAATATTCATTTAAATTCTCCAGATTTGTTTCATGTAATTTGATGATTTCACAAAGTAACATTTTTTTCTCCATGTTTGAGTTATCATATTGGGTTGATTTTTTTCCTTTTTTTTTTAAATGTAGTTCGTCGATTGACCACTTGAACTATTTTTTTAAAATAAGTTTCGTGTATTTGAACAATTTAAGTAGCCTTATATTCATGTTAAGTATAAGATATGTTTGACCAACAAAAAAAATAGAAATATATTGTGCTATCAAGGATCTCTATTGTGACATATCACATCTCAAAATTAATAATATTTTTTTAATATATATTTTACTATTTGACTTAACTAGTTAAATGAAATATAAAATCTCATAATAACTCAAGGGTATAATAGGAAATAAACTTTTTTTAGAGTTTTAAACCAAACATAAGATTAGGTGGGAAACAATGAACAAAACACTTGATAAAAATTAATACCTGTATTACTAAACCCTGTATTTACTAATCCTTGCATTAATAATCTATGCGTTAGTAATTCCTGCATTATGCATCTTTGTACCAAACAACCCCTAAAAGTACTTCCCTGCCCAAGTCTTTTTTTGTCTTTCTCTCTTTCTTATTGTATACAATTCGATTCAATTTTATGTTTCATGCCTCCTTTCTCGTTTTATACAAATTCAAATTGTATATAATCTTTTTATACACTTATAATTATACAATTTGTTTTATATACTTCGTTTTATACAATTCTCTGCCCAAATGTCTTTCTCTTTCTCATTTTATACACTTCGTTTCTATTGTATATGTATAGTGAACTATACATATATATGTTTGCTATGGAGCGCAATTATGTGAATTTTGATATAGCATATAAATATGAATTTTATGTTTGCTATATGTGAAAAGTCTTCTAAAAAATACTTTCTCCTTCCTAATTTATGCGACTATATTTGATCGTAAACTTTTCATATATTTTTTAATTATTTTAAATTGTCAACTATTGTGATTTGTAATACTTTATATATAAAAAATTAAAAATTTCACACAAAAATTTCCACTTAAATTTAACTGTTTGACTTTTGAGAAACAAAAAGCTTTACATTGGAAAAAAAAAAGCATTAAAAGAGTGAAGTGGTCACTTTAAAAAAAAATTATCCGTTCTTTTGTCAACATAAAACAGAATATAAATAGGGAAATTAACATGTTTAGTCCCTCAATTATCAATTGATCTTTATTTTGATTATAAGTCCAATTTTGGGCGAATATAAAATACTGTTCCCGCTAAAATTTCGCTCAATCTCTGTTTTTGGCGGCGAAAAAATCCCTTCGTTTTCGCGTCTACTGTAAGATTCCGATCAAAAGCCATGAATTCCAGAGAGCTAACGCTGTTCTCAGCTGCCGCAGTGTTTGGTGCCTTTGCCTCTGCTATCACCATTCGCTTGTTTTTCAATCCGAAAAACCGTTCTGTTACTGGTCCAGATTCGGGAGTTAACGGTTTTCATCAAAGGAAGTCGTCGTCTTCTCGGAATCCATTTGATCCTTCAAAACGAAAAGGGTTTGTGGATTTAACTTTTACCGTTTTTCTTAGATCCTGAGTTAAGTATTTTGCTATGGTTTTGTAATTGTAGGTATTTGTCGTGGGATGATTACTTTATGGCGATTGCATTTTTATCTGCTGAACGATCAAAGGATCCAAACAGGCAGGTACTACTATAATTTGTGAACCGAACCTATTTTAAGCATTTTCATGAATTTGGAGTTATTTGGATTCGATGGATGATTGGAATTACACGCCAACTGTTTGTTAAATTGTTGTATATTTCATGCTTAGTTGTTGTAATTATCGTATTGCGAAAAACTAATGTATACTTCACTGAGTTCACTTTGTTAATTGACAGATCTATATTATTAAAAGGATTCTTCCTTAATAGAAAAAGAATGAATGAACTATTTTCTAACACACAATAGAAACTACCAGTAGTCTTGAGATGATACACAAACTAAGGACTCTGAATTTAAAAGAAAAGCTACTGATTAGTTTGTCGTATTTATTGAGCCGTTTAGGTGAAACCAAAGTAGTTATCAGTGATTGTTACCTCTTTTAACCTCACATAAAAGGAGTTGTCTAATAATTTGTGATGATCGGATTTTTGCCAATGGAATGATTGAAGCTGTTTAAAGACAGTTACATTTGTTCGTGCTGCTCTCGTTCATTTGTATGATATTTCCACTCTTTACTGCTCTAATGCCTACTTTTAGGTTGACTTTCTTGATTGAGGTTTCACAAGCTCCCTTGGGACTAACCATTTTCTGGCTGTTTGGCAGGTTGGAGCATGTTTGGTGAGTCAAAATTATGTAATATTAGGTAAGATGTATTTAAAGGAATCAAATATCTATCTATTGAAAACTGAAAAATGTTTCGCATCATTAAGTTTTATTGTTCTAATCACATTTGATTAGGAAGAACCACATCAAGTCATCTAATTGTCGGTCGGAGTAGCTCACAGATAGATGAACTAGTTTCATAAAAAAAAATCATCATAAGATAGATTAACACATGTTCACATTCACTTAGGACCTCAATATTTGGTTATATTTCACTAATGATACTATTATTAATCATTTCTTGATTTGAGAACTCCGATGGTCCTATCACTTTACCATTATATTGGTTGAGTCATATGATTTCATATTGGTTCCAGAAAAGATGAAATAGAGATGGTTGCTCTGAAATAATAGGGAGGTTTAAAAAGCTTCATTCACTACTTAATACTCATGCAGTGCTTTCGTAGGAACTGCAAACATTTGCAAGACGCCAGTCTTCAGTCCCCTCTTAAGTTGCTTTAGTCTTTGCACATTAGTTAGTATTATTTAACATATGCTCTATCTCGTTTATATCACTTGACGTAGAATAGATGTGGCAGCATTGCCACACTTGGGAGTATATTGGTTAATTCACACTTGAGATTCATATAGGATTTTGATCTTTGACTCTCTGATTTGTTACCTTTTTCATATGGGTATTTGTTATTTGATTTTTTCCCCGTACTACATGAATGTAATCACATAACTTCTAGAATACAAATATTTGGGCAACATATTTACTGCCAATTGGTTATTAGATTTTATCTGATTGATGCTCTACTTTTAGCCAGGCATTGGATACAACGGGTTCCCACGTGGCTGTTCAGATGACAAGCTTCCATGGGCCAAGGTTGTTTTTGTTCAAGGAGCATATAGCTTTATTACTGTCACTGTTATTCTAATTAATTCCTAACATTTCAGAAATCTAAAAATGGGAATCCACTGGAGACAAAGTATCCGTAAGTAATAAGCTTCTCTGAGACATTCTATGTGTAATTTATGTCAGTAGACTACACAATGTTATTTTGTAGGTAGTAATTACCATACCAAACATACTATCTTAATTCAAGAAACAAGTTTCACTCACTCTACATTTGATGACTCTACCTCATTTCAAGCTTACCAATTCTCTTGCAGTTATGTTTGTCATGCTGAAGTTAATGCCATCCTGAATACAAATCATGCATCTGCTGCAGGACAGGTTAGCTTGGGCCTTGACCCGTGCAATATCGATCTAATGTCCTGTCACTCCTACTGCGAATCCTTTTTTCTCTCTCTGAACAGCCTCTTTTCTTATTAAGTAATTGGAAATTATTTTATCTGGCCTGTGTTTTGCCCAGTATTATCTCACCGAATACGCCTTACCCTATTATGCAGAGGCTTTACGTGACAATGTTTCCTTGCAATGAATGCGCAAAGATTATCATTCAAGTAAGTCTGATCCTATTTGACCTCAAAATATCTAAGCATAGCAACATTTTCTACTATGGAAGATTGCTTCTGTTTGGGAGCTTAGGCTTTTTTTTTTTTTTGTAAATTCAGTGTGACACACTAGCAGAAATTATGTGAAGACAACAAAAAGAATTTGCATGAAGTGGAAAAACTTGCATCAGGATTTTGTGCTCATATTCCCTTAAATCAAAATAAATACAGATATAAGATGGCACGTTTGACACTTATCAATATATAATGTTTAATCATAAAAAGATTAATGAGAATTCTGGAATAAAAATAGCTATGAAAAGAATCTTTGGGTGTTCTCCAGTATATTTTTTTTGACTTCTATGCAGTATGCACTGGGAACTATATTTGTGATTGATTTTGCATCTCTGCATCATGCACCTTCTTTTTTTGGTTTTCCACTAATTTATACTTCACAAATATCTGTATTTGCAGTCTGGTGTTTCAGAAGTTATTTATTTTGTGGAGAAGAGATTAGACGGTTCTGACACAGCGTATGTTGCTTCGCACAAACTTCTGTCATTGGCTGGCATTAAGGTAAGTAAATTTAGTGTCAACTCCTCTCCAAGAAATGTTACTTAGATGCATCATCTTACCAATGGAAAAAAAAAAAAAAACTTATAATCCTTGGTGAAAAGGTTAGCAGCATGTATCAGTTATTTCAATTTGTGAACTTACTTAAATCCTGATTGTAGGTAAGGAGGCATCAGCCACAGATGAAAGAAATCTCTATCAATTTTGAAGAACTATAGACACTCCTCGACGACGTGCTCTTCTGTAGGCCTTAATGTATCTTATGGATCTCTCTTGGGTTAAAGATGAAAGATGGATGTAAATTAGTAATGCTGCTAAGAGGGTTGAGGACTCGCAACTCTTATACTATGATGGGTGTTCAATTATTGAGATGTGTACCAAGTGCTTGTAACTGCTCACTTTAAGATGAAAAGCTGCCTTCACTGGTTAGTGTAAAGCTGATGAGTTAACTTCCCATTAGGCAAATTTAACAGATGTTTTACTACAATTAAATTAGTTTTATGTCGATAAAAGTGTGGTAATACGTTGATGTGTATCCTATTCATTGGAAGTTTAATACAGAAAAAACATACTTATGTGGGATACTCTCTCTGATGGCTATGGTTTTAGCAATAGAGAATTTGCCTACATTTTGCAGAATTTGGAATCCATTAATCTGCATTTGGCATTTTGCCTGAAACATTAATTTAACACCTTCAGGGACCCAAAATTGCTAGAACTGAATGGTGACAATATTTAATTAACCTTTTAGTAATATAACATTAACTTAAATCTGTCAGTAAGTTGTTGCAATGTAGGACTAGTTCATCCCACATGCTGGGAATAGGAACACTAGGCATTAAAAATGCCGCCAAGATCCCAAATGTGTTCGAGCTCACTTTAGGAAGCATAATTTTTCTCCAAAGCAAGGAAATTTTACACGAGCATCATGCAACTTCGAGCAAGTTTTACTTTTCTCTATAGTAAGAATTTTTCTCTTTTTGTATTTTCAGTAGTCTAATCAGCGTTAAGGGCTTCAAGTTGCCTTCTGAGCTCTTCAAGGTCATCCGCAGGACCAACAGTCTCTGTGACAGGTGCTTTTGGGTAATCGTCAGCTACTGGCAGCTCATGAACAATACCTTCGGGAAGGACACCTGCAATTAAAACAGAAGTATAGATATTATAAGTATGATAGTTTCAGATGATTTCAGCCATTAGTTCATTCTCTTTCTCCTTTAAATTATAACCTAAAATACGATCCATCACATGAAGTATAGTTGTAGGAAGTAACTGTCACAATGATATCTGGAATATTTCCTTTTTCTAGTTGTCTTAATACAATTCTATGCAACTACTGATCTATTGTCTAATTATTTGTTACTATGCCACAAGTGGGCAACTAGAAGTCATTCTATATTGTGTAGAGAATTGTTAAGTCTTAATTTGCTCAGCAAAAGCCAGGGAAAGACATACACAAACAGTGACTGTTTGACTTCCACCTGTATAACCAAAACACATGAAAGAGAGAAATTGTCCTAGTGTGATCTGGCATCACCGTAGAACAAGGAATTATATGCACTTTTTGGGATGTCTAATACACAGGTACTCGAATTTCAGTAGATGACGCAGAATTCGGGGGCACACATTATGAAACAGTGAACTCATATAAAAAGTTTGTAGGGCAATCTTTTCAGCAAGCTTTATTAATTGGCAAGTAACTCTAAAGCTACACATGGCCTAGAGGGTATGTGTTCTGTTTTCTATGCATCTTATTATACTAGTGCATGACACTTGCAATTTCAGGCAGTTGGCATGCCTGTCCTAATGAATAGCAGAACAAACTGTATTTTCCTTAGCCCTTATTTTCCTTCCAACTTCCATTCTCATGACTAGTTCTTTTACCTTCCAACTCACCAAACTTAGTGTAATTTCATTCTTTAGCCCCTGCTTCTAAGTTTTTGCATTTCAGATGTCTAGATGGAAAATAATGGCTATCACAAAGTAAGTTAGTCACAACATCTTGGAAAAAAGTAACTTTTATATTGAGCAATATGGGCTTCATTTTTGAGTTATGGACTATGATCCACCCAAGAATTTGAAGTTAGCAGATTACTGGTTTTCTTTTCTTTTTTTTTTGGAGAAATAGCTAGGGGATAACTTGAACAAAAGCAAAATATGTCTATCAGAGTTGACAAATACCTGAATTTTTCACGTCAGAACCATCCACCTCTTCGTCATCTACAACGCTGAAAGATCACAAGGCAATAACAAAATCAATTAGTTGAACAACAAGAAGATGAATTCATGTTATGACAAACCATACTTAAACTAGAAACTCGAGAAAATTGTTAAAGTGCTTTCTACCAATATGAGGCAAGCGAGTAAGTAGTTGTCTCTAAGCTTACCTTGTGTGTTTTGTTTTTAAGTTGGATAAATTATGAAGCTTACCTTATGTTCCATTCATTGTCTGCATGAACAGGGTTTTCTGCAGGTGATACTGCTTCTATGTCCGCCTTTGCTTTAGCAGCAGCATCCCTAGTAGGCTTTGCAAGAATGTATTCCTTCTGCAAAGTAGAGGTCACCATAAAATATCAGAACTTCAATTGAATATCAAATAAAGATGACCTCACTTGTAGGACCATGGACACTATACCTGTCGTTCCAAACAAGCAGCATTTGAACATTGTGAGTTTGGCTTCATCTCCATTGTTGGAAAATAATCTTTGAGAGCATTGTACCCCTAAAACAAGCAACAAAAAAGAAACTATAAACATCAAAAGTGTTGAGCTACACTTAATTTCTGTCTTCACCTTGTCCTCCTTTTATAGGAGGCAAGTTCACTTCTGTTCTTGACCAGTTATCTGCTAAGAAAGTCCTCCGTACTCCAGAGGGTTGAAAGACTCAAGTCTTTGACTAAAAAAAAGTCCAAGAAAGAACTTAAAGAGTGATAAACATTCTCTCACATCTACAGCCTTAGTGGGGGAGAAGGGGAGAGAGAGAGCAAAAAAGAGATGGCAAGCTTTACCAGATAGCGTGACACCTGTCCGAACTTCAACAAGTACTTCAATGTGTTTTGAACTAAAAGTCCAGCAACAACTCCCTATCAAAGAGAGTTCAAATGTTAATTTACCAAATCAAATAATGAATTTGTAATACAGCTTCAATCAAATCATAAACAAGATTCTAGTATTTTTGCTAGAAGAGAAGTTCATATTATTCTTCAAAAGAAAGTGGGAGCATAAACATGAGAAAAGTAACCAAATTAGCAGCAAATGCGGCTATAAAGAGAGAGAATAATTTTGAAGATGAGAAGAGCCAAACTTCAACCACAATTTTCAGTGTTTCTTTTTACAATTACAATTGCTTATCATTTGAAAGTCATTCACATGGTGATCTTCAGGCAGAGAACTTAGAATATGTCATGCATAAAATTTATAAGGAGAAAGGGAACAGACAAATAATTGAGGAATTAAGGTTTTTTCATACCATTGTAGTAGGTAGTGATGCAGCACAAACCCCTTCACGCTTTAGGGTTCGTTCATCAATTCCAGATGCTACTACCTAAAACCACAAGTATTCCATTTCAGCAAATTATTTGGTTTACTTGAAAGCAATCTTAGTTGAAATTCGTACAGAAAGCTGAAATTTGGTAGAACAAAGTAGTTTTACATCATTTTAAGTTATGCCATTTAACTTTTATCAAACTTAAGTTAATGATTGTTATTGCGGACTCTTTTACAAATCAAGTCTCACTTCAACTAAAGATCGGTGATCCTTGATTGAAACCATTAGGAAAATTTCAATAGCTAAACATACCAGAGGAGGCACACATGCAAAGCAGGCAGTTTCACCAGGAATCAGCAATTGTATGTGACCTGACACAGCATCTTCAGATACACCTACCAAATTCCATCAATGTCTAGTTTAATTCAGAGGTTCCTGACGCACATGAAAGACAAAAAATTAACATGAAATTCAGCCACTTACCAGATTCCATCCATGTCTGATTTAATTCATTGCAGGCCTGCATTGCGATGAATTACTTAGTGGGTTAATTTACCAAACAAACAAATAACCTAAAACCTTATATCAAGTAAACTTGTTTATACAGATTAAAGAAATACTAGCGAAAAGAACAAGTTTGGAGATACTTTAGACAGAGGAATTAGGGGACATGAAAACACACCGACCATTAATTAAAATTTTAGGTAGCAGATATTTGCTCACCTGATTTACCACCATCCTTGCTTCATAATTATCTACACAGCTCAAGACGAGGTCAACCCCACTACCACTCTTAGTTGGCCGGAATGATTTGTTTGTAAGACTTGACATAAATGTGTCAAAACCTTCCACGGTTGTTATATTTAACGTGTAGCTCTACAAAGACAACCCAGTGAAGATGGAGAAAACCCTAAGAAATTAAAGAACACAGAAAAACAGACATATTCTAGAGAAAAACTGAAGAAGTGTAAATCAACATTAGCAAAGAAATGTCTTAAGTAACCCACACTACCATACTATTTTAAAAGTTCAGATCGGACAAGCTTTCAACGAACCTTTTGGGATGGGCATACACATTCATGCAGTATGTCAAAGCAGAAAAATGCCTAAAATGCCTAAGTCTTCAATTGCAACACAAGCCGGTAACACATGCACTGAACATGGTCCACAGAGGGAGGGAGAAAGAGATGACACTTAAAAGAATGAATTATTAGCTTCTTTCATGCTTAAAGTTCTAGATGCAGGAAAGGGTTGTATTTTAATGACGGTCTGAATCAGCTTTTCTAGCTTAGTCCATTGAAGAAAAGACTATATACATCCAGATTCCAGGGACCAGTTAAGAAACTAGAAGAAAATACCACACTCATGACCTAAACACTATGAAGTCATCATACTCGCTACGTATCTATAAACTATAAAGTGAGGGGACCAACAAGACGCATTATTGTCAACTTACATAAACCAAATTGATGCTTAAGCTAATAGATAATAGGAAGGGCACTGAAAGAGAAAAGTTTTCTTCGTTGAATATGACACAAAACTCTTAAGTATCATAGTTTCTTAGGACTTCACCTCCCATTAAAAAAAAGCTAGTTCAAAATAGGGTAAAGCATTTAAGAGTAGTTATCAGTTGATTTTACAAGAACATGGCATTTCTGTCATTCAATAGTATCTTCAAGAATGGAATGGAAAGAAGAAACAATTAAATTTTGTTTATAGCTTGAGCTTGGTGAAGGACTCCAAACAAACTTTCCTTTAAAACAAAACCCTAACTGGCAAACTGCAAACAATCCTACCTCAAGCACAACATCAGGATTTATCTCTGAAAGAGTTTGTACAGCAGCATCTGTCTTTGTCATACCGACCTGGAAGTGACATTAGAATTGTATGGTAAAATGCCAAAGTGATAGCTCTTTATAGCTGAAACAACGGATACTAATTTATCATGTTAGGAAAATATAAAAAATCTTTGGCTCAATAAAACAAACTATCAATATAGAAATGTAATCACTCACTAGCTACTACACATATGCACAAGGGGATATGGAAATAAGAATATTTTCTAGAACACCTGCTCTGGGCGAAAAAATAGCCTATTCATATTAGCTAACTCCACTTTGTCATAATCATACAACAAAAGGCGACCAATGCCACACCTTGTCAGCATCTCAGCAGCAACACTGCCAACACCACCTATGCCCTGTCATGAAGAAATTACAAAATTATGAGCATTTAAATATCAAAGACTAAGCAGAAGCATGATACGCGAGTCTAAAGTAAATATAGAGGACTCAAGTACATGTTTAAAAGAGTGAAGTCTAAATAATTATTCTGACAGCTTGATGGACATACTAAAGATTTTGCAGTTTCTAGGTCTTAACCAGGGCTCTAAGCCTATTAGGCACCAATATACGGCAAGGTAAAATAAATCTTACATATACCTTAAGTAAGTCCAGGAGCTTAACACTCAGATTGGCAGTCAGTATAGCAGATGTATGATGGAAATAAAAGACAGATCCCTTTTTGTTGATAAGTCAAAATAAAAGATCTCAAGTGTAAATCCCAAAAAAGACATTATTTTGCATACATCTAAGACCTTGATAGGAAATATTGAATTATATGAATCTCAGGTTCATAGCATTATTGGAAGTCATGACACATGTAAAACAATATTGGAGAGTAAAAATTTTGTTCTATAACATTACAAATACAGAATTTAGCACAAGGAGGGAGATAAAATACATACAACAATGGCAACTGAGAACTCTCTTATTCTTTCATAGTTATTCACAATACCCATCCTCTGGAGTGCCATAAGCCTGCTATAGGGATTGCTATCAACAACTTCAGCACTCATATCCTGCCACCATCACAATCAAGTAATTATTAGGCTAAAGTTTGTAGTTAATTCCAATCAAAATATGGAATGATGACTATATACACTAACCTTGACTTTTGAACGGCGAATAGTTCCCGACTTCTCAAGAGTAGCGATGTTTTCAGCATGCAAATGCATCTAGAGATACGACCAAAGAGAAGAATATATCAAAATCTCATGACGGGACATGCGAAAAAAAGATTAAAGGTTAATGGCATTTGAAAGAAACGGTGATATTTTTAACAATTACTGCAGTAAAATTTTTTTAAAAAAATAATTGACGGTGTTTCACCTCCTCCTTATTGACGGTGGATCCAAAAGACCAAAATCTTGCCCAGTTATGTTTCTACTTTAAAGTAACCATATTAAATTTTAAGGGATATCGAAAGGCATATATATCCATTAAACCTGAACAACTTCTACATAGTCAAAGACATAAACCAAAGCCTATTTAGCATAAGACATTATTAAGAATATGAATTTTTAAACACATTTAATAAATACTTCTAGAACCAGTTGTGGTTCTGGATACCGAGAGGATGAAACTGCAATTCATAAAACAACAACAACTATGCCTCAATTCCGAACAAACGTGATGTCTAGATGAATCCTCACCAACCATAAACTCTCCATTTAAATTCATTTTAGGCCAAACAAAGAAGTACTCCATTAGAAATCCTAAATTTTTTTTTATCTATGAAACTGCAATGCGTAATGCAGGTAATTTATGACAAATCCAAAACATCGTTGACCTAGGCAGATATGGTACCTAAATTCTGAACATAATCAGCATTCGATCAATTGACACTATAATGAATTCTTCTACTTGACTATAACAGATCCAGTTGAATTAGACCTAACATATTAGGAGATTGAATGATTAGCAACACCATTGAACTTACCTTTTCGATTAGAGCAAGATGAGAAGGATCTGAGATTGATTTCTTGAGAGAATGGAGATCACTCAGCAATTCTTTGAGCTCCACCTCCATGATTCTTACCGATTTGACGACTTCTCTGGAACGTCAATTTGGGTATTATTAGTGTAATCTTTGTAGTAATTGTAATAGCTTTTGTCACTCAAGGTTTTGAAACCATAACTCATAAATCCCAATTAGAAATATGGAATTTCCTTTTATTTTATTTTTTATTGTTTCTCTTCTTTGACTTTTTTTTCTTAAAGAAAATAAAGAAACTACACATTCCTCCCTATATGTTGTGACTTGCTACACATACTTTAAATATTATTATTAGAAAGAAAAAAAAACATTATATTGTAAGTCGAAAATCCACTTATGTTTTTATTTAATTTTATTTTTTATATAATTATTTTGTGTCACATTACTTTATAATGTGCAGCTAAATTCTGGGTCATCTAGATTAAAAATTTAGTAGATATTTGAGAAAAACCAAGAGAAATGCTGTAATAAATAATATACTTGAGAAAAAAATATAAGATATCAAACTTCCTATTCTCAAATATAATAATGTAATAATGGAGAATCCACACTGAAATGGATGATGTGCTGAAGCCCTGGCAATAAAAAGGGCAATGCAAAGTTCAGAAATACAGTTTTCTTTGCTTCCCCTGATGCTGAGTACCGAGTAGTTAAAAGTTAAATCAGCAAGAGCTAAACAGTTGCAAAGAAGACATTTGTAGATGAATACAAACACTCCCCTGAAAATTAGTAGGGGAAAAAGAACCCTTGCAGGTAAGTACTGCTAAGTAGGAACCAAGAACTTCCAATAAGATCAGAACAACGGATGCATAGACAACTGAATTCAATTTTGAGAAACTGAAGTTTCAATGTTACAAACATGGAGAAAATGACTACGAAAAACTATTAGGATCTGGGAGCCATCTCAAGGTTGGGCAGCCTCCAAGAGTTTTTCGTATACTTGTCTAGCTGTCAAATCCTCCACCTGATGCAGCGGAAAAAAATCAGTGAGAAGTTGACTTAGAAATAACTATTAGTAATCTGCAGCTTTAACAAGGATACTTCTCTAGACAAAATGCATCTTGTGTCATAATGAAAGGAACTAATGCATTTTTATGTGTTATCAAAGTGCAAGAATTGTGAATGAAATTGGTAGAAGTCCTTGCCAGGAAAGAACAAACCACCCAAGCAATTTCCCTCGATTTTTTTAAACTAATGTCTATGTACTTTGATGTTTCAACAAGTCCCTTCAAAATTGAAAAATTGGCCGGTGTAAGGCCAAGTTGATACAATTGGTACCGGCAGGTATACTCCACGGCATGTGCTGCTTCTTGTCAGGCAGCTTACCAGGCACTATTCAAAGACAACATAATCTGACAAAGTGGTTCTTGGTTAGAATAAATAGCACTTCCTCAGATTTGGAAAAAGGTAATGCACCGCATGCATCGATACATAATCACTAGAGTTTATTTATGATTACTAGCCAAGGTCGTACTTCCAACTGTGGAGTGTCCTCTTCCTGCTTTTAGACCAAAATGTAGATGAATACTATCTCGGGTATCTAGCATCACTGGATTTTGATTCTACATATATTCTTTTGTTAAGCTTCTACTGAATTTGATATTCAGGTTACTATTACACCAAGCCTTAGAACTTAAACTCTATAGCCATAATATACATGCAAAAGATAGCAGGGAAGACGTATGCTCAGTGTCTCACAAGGAACAAGAAAACACATAGAGTTCGTTTTTAAAATGGTATTTATTGTTGATGTCGAAATTAGCACTAGAGAATATCTACAGGTTATCCAGCCAAAGAGGAAACTGACAAAAATACTTAACAGAGAAAACAGTAGAATTGCGTATGGGGAAAACACAGAGCTAAAGTTAGACATGTCAATTTAGACTTACTACAAGAAGCTTTGATTTGCTATTCCATCCTCTTTGGAGAGTCATCTGAGATAATTTCAGACCCAGTACCTGCGTAAACAGAAAATCTTAGTGGTTCAGCGAATCAACCAGCGAAGTATCTAAATAATGAGCTCAAATATGAAACTTTTTCCAAGAGGCAAAGGCAAAAATGTTCAGCATACTCGGCCCATGAATTCCAGAAGTTCATTATTAGCTTCCCCACGAGCTGCAGGTGCGGTTACAGTGACCCGAACATCATCTGCATTCACTCCTACAACAATATAAATGTCAAATAAGCGAGACATCAACATCAAGGCCAAAATAGATAATTTAACAGTACAGCCGCTAAATTTTCAGCTTTTACAATTAGCAGAAGAGTAGGAATTGTTATTATTAATCATCTGCAGAAATGTTCAGGTGGACAAATCATTTCCCAACACTGAAGAATTTGAAGCAAATGAGAGTGTCTAACTTCCAAAAATCATTGAAGGATTATTTACTTGTAATTGCAGACCGCTGGGCACGGTCCTCGACTTCTATCGCCACTTGCACAAGGCCACCTTCTAACTGTGATATACATGGTGGTACAGGAGCATCCTTCATAAAACAAGAAAATATTAATTCCTAAAGATATACATGTATCTGGAAGAACATGTATATAAGTTGACAAGTAAGAAAAATAAGGAATTTTCTGTGTTCGAATAAAGCATAAGATTTTTTTACATGATCTTACAAACAAGCAAGGGACAGAGAATACAGAAAGATTAACAAGCTAATGCAGAAAAGAAGTGTAAGAAAGCAGACAACAATCAATTTTATGGCTTGCTACAAATACAGAAAATATGTAGGCATAACTATATAATGCAGCCAGAAAGTGAGTAACTGCAAAACCATTAGGATATAATACCTGTGGATTTGTCTCAGCCGCAATAGTGCTAAGTGCCCCATCAACTACATATATGAAAGAGGCAGTCTCCAGATCTTCTTCTGCCCGATAGCAGACAAACAGGCCACATCCCTTACAGGACATCCGAAACTGTTTCTCCATTTTCCCTTCACCACTATAAAGCAAAAGCAGAAGGTTTCAAAAGAATGTTCCATATTAAATTGTTACTCATATCAGTCATCAATAATAAAGTTCTTTTCCAGTGAAGCAAGAGACATGAACTAACGATCTCTACGTTAACGAGAAGCTGCAAAAGGCCAACCGACAAAGTACATCAGAAAGACAGAAAGTAATTAAGTCCACGTTAAGTTCAGTTTTCCCTACTGAAATTTGATTGTATTTTACTCACCATCTTTGTGGTTCCCCAACGGTAATAATATTTTGGTCTGCATGTTATCCATGTTCATTCCATATATGTATTCCAGTAATAACTTAGATATACCTATTTTAAGCTCTTCTGATGATGTCATTCCACTGTAGGTCAAGTTTATTACTGCAAGGATTACATCAGCTTCATTTTAACTCTTAGAATCTAGCAGCGCTTCCCTTACAAACAGAGCAAAGTATTCCATTTTAAACTGAAACACCTTTTAATCTTGACGTGTAATTTCGTACATTCTTCTACAGATGATTGCATATACTTGTAATGGAAGCAACATCAATATACTAAAGTTTACAGGAGCAGAAAGATTACCGCTTTAGAAGAACTTTCCCCGCATCATCTACACTCAGTCTTGCGAGATACTTTTTTTTATCCAATACATATGCCTTGTCGGTTTTCCTTTTTGGCATTTTCTGCAATTGATTATCTACAACCATACTTTAGCAAGGAGAATGCCCTTAAATTGGCAGTAACCCCATAATATATAACAACATACCCAGTGTAATCCAACGGGCCACAAGTGGAGTCTGAGCAGGGTAGGATGTATACAGATCTTACCCTTGCCTTTGTGGGATAAAGAGCGGTTTCCGAAAGACCCTCGGCTCAAATGAGAAGAAAAGAGAAAAATGCCATAATGTAGTAAAAGTAACAATAAATCCTCTCTCATTCTTAATATAATCATAAGGAAGTTTTTCTCCATCATGCCAATAACAAGAAAAAATTATACACCACCTAATCACATCTAATCCGCGCACAAGAAGCAAAAGACGACAAACCATTAGACGTCCAAATTTGAAGAAACGGATAATACTGGAAACTAGAAATTCTCAACGTTCAACGTAGCATGTATCACATTCCATCATATAACCAAATACTAGTTACTACTATAAACATAATGACTCAATAGTTCAGAAGAACTTCTCTAGATCACTTCCAGACCATAGTTGACTCTCCAAAATTTTCAGATTTTAGCATAATTTAACTAGTTCCTTCACACCAATTATCATAAACCTCAACATCCCACCTCACCTCTAGAAGTAAAACTTTCAACAATAAAAAAAATGCGATTTACATAGTACTGTAAACTGAAAATTCAACAAATATAACAAATAACTAACCAAATTAACGCTCATTCGTTTTAAAGTACAGTGCGAGTAAATTTGTTCACAGAATAGAGAGAAAAAGGTGAGAGTACGAACCGGAGATGAGGACATGAGAACTGCAGTGCTTGCAGTAATACACGAAGAGATCGGAGTTGGTACCGTCGGTAACTGCGTCTTCGCTAGAGTATGTGTGCGTTGTCCTCTTCGGCATCTTTCCCCTAAACCTCTCGCAAGTACGCCGGAGAAGGATGAAGATTTTATTATTTTTTTCTCTTTTGTTCGTTTTCTTTCAGCTCGATTGGATATTCCCAGTAAATTCTACTTTTGCCCTTGTCTTTTTCTTATTTGGACAGTTTGCCTCCAACTTCACTGTAAAAACTCAAATGTGACCCCATAATTTTTCGAAATAAAAGATGTTCTCGGATTTTCTATTTTACTTGTCCATTTTAATAAATTGAGGAATTTTTATTATTTTTCTTCTATACTACTCAAAACATAATTAGTCAAATTGAGAACTTTGCATATAACTTAATAAAGGTTATTTAATACAAAAAATTTAAAGATTGTGTCACGTCAATATGAATCAAATAATATAAAACAAAGAAAGTAATAGATTATCTGATTGATGTTTAATTTTACGTTGTATACAATAATATGAACAAAAATCTTGTGCATTTGCCTAAGAAAGTAATGTAGGTGTGAAATTCTACATTATTAACACAATGTTTCAATTCTCATTATCGTTTTCCTTCTCTTTTTTAATGCGGGACATAATGTGAGAAAAAATATAATGTTAACGAAAATTTGGAGTGCTCAATATTGTATATTGTTATCTTCGGGCGACTCGATAATGTTTAAAAAAAAGACATGTGACTTAAGCTCTCAAATTTAAGGGCCTCATTTTTAATAATAATAGGCTATGCTATTATTATTTTTTAACCAATATTGAATATTATTTGTAGAAAACACTAACTTTTCATGAAAAATGAAGGAATTATAGAAGAATTATTTGTAGAAAACACTAACTTTTCATGAAAAATGAAGGAATTATAGAAGAAATTTGACATATTTGAAGTATATCTCATGAAAATAATTTTAAAAAATTTGATCATATTATCAATTGAAAATTAGAAGAAATTAATTATATGAACGTTATCAACAATTTAGATTTAAGACCCGTACATTTTCTTTAAGCCACTAATATGTTTGAACTGACGCTTTAGATATTAATACCTCGTATGAACTACCGTTCAATTATCATGTAGTTTCTAAATTTAGTTCAATATTTTTCTGTTGTTTTCCCTTTGTTTTCATGCTTTTAGGCCTAGTTACATTAATTTCACAATAGACTATCATTTGATTTTGATTTTTGAGTATTCAATTTGATGTAAATGTTAGAACATTATTTACAATATGCATAGAAATTTGATGTAAATGTTAGAACATTATTTACAGTATGCATAGTAACATCAAATGATTTTGAGATTTTTTAAAATGATTAACACTGCTCAATTAGTAACATCATTAGATTCCTCATATAACTTTCAAATTTAAAAAAATTATATTTCCTATCCGAATTATTGATTTAATGTGTATTCATTCACTACCACTTTATAATAAACAACTCAAATTAACAAGCTTTTTCATCACTTCAACGTCATCAAGTAATTCATCGCTAAGTAACAATAAGTAACAATAAAGAGTCTTGTAACCGTCGATTTGATGTGATCACATTGTTACCTTAATACAACAACATAGACAACATAGACAGTATAATCACACAAGTAGAGTTAGGTAGTAAATATGGCGATGTATGATAATAATAATAAAATGAAAACAACAGATAGCAAGATGTAGAATAAGCACAACAACAAATGTAGTAATACAAATTGAATGAACAATGACAAACATCACAAAAAAAAAAACCAGACTAGTTAGTGTCTTTGAAGAGAACAGTCATCTCCGCTTTGAACCAAGAGAATCTTTACGTTAAAATAACAATTAAGATGAAACAGGGTCATGTCAGGAACGGAACGAGGAACAACTCCCCAATATAGAGCTTTAGACATCAGGTAAAACCACAAATGAGAAAAAAGCAAGATACAATAAACCTTTTTTAGGGCAGCTAAAGATACACTAGAGCTTTCCCAAGATACTTTCTTCCCTACATAACCAGTGATTATTGACAACTCGATCGAAAAGGTAGCTAGAATCCGCACATCAATATTTACTAGAAGATAATTGCATTTGAAATCAAGCCCCCGTCTCATCTTCTTCTTCAATTATCAGAAACGAAGCACAAATATAACTGCCATTAGCCCCCATACAAATCATGAACCAGCAATCGCGCCTCTTGTGATGAACCTCATTTCTAGTCCCCTCCTAGAGTAACAAAGGGCAAAAATCGACTCAAAAGAAATCCAGTAGACACCGTGCCTAATGCAGAAGATCTCTACATTCCTATTTCCTTCAGAAGAAAGACCTACCCTGGACCCGGAACAAGAGAATACCTCCATCCAAGATAGATGACACCTCCCTTTTATCTCTTCGGAAGTATTTCCACAAAGATACAAACCATGAACATAAAATAGAGAGCATGAAAAGATAACCCCTTGCATCACATAACAATATTTTTTAAAACTTCAAATATAATTTACTTGCAGCATGAAATACATCTATAACAGTTGAAACTTTCAGAGTATATGATTGCACTAATGTCAATGCAAAGCTCAGGTTGGAAAAAAGAAGAAGTTGATTATGTGTCATAATCATGCAAGATATATAGTCTTCTAAAGAATGGTGAATGCTCTAACGGTGCAATTTGATTCTGATAGCAGTTTCATGGGGAAAAAAAGAAAATCGGTAATTGCAGTGGAAGCTAAGAAATGCTTACAGCTAGCTACCACTCAACCAGCATTACCATAAAAAGGAAGATTGAATACCAACTAGAGCTGAGAACTCGAAGTTGACCAAGTCCCAACAGAAGTCAGACTAAAGCAAAATCCTAGCTGTTTCTCATCAAAGGGAAGGGAAAGATATTATTATATGTCAAACTGTCGGAAGTGTCAAAGATCACTTAAACTTTCTTTCATAACTTCTGCATCTTTTTGATGCCATCAAAGGAATCTACTGCTTCATCAAAACCTTCCCTTTTGGAGGTAGATTGACATTATGAACATGTTCTTGGATGGCAATCCACACTATCTAATGTCATTATTTTCCGTTTCATCAGAAATGGAGGAACAATAGAATGATTCCTTTCCGGGAAGGAGGCAACAAAAAGATAAGACATGGACTATAGTGATAAACAGTAAAAAGAGATGACAGCATGGTGAAGAAAACAACGAAAAAGGAAGAAAAAATCATTTGATGCCTCAGTGATTGATTACAAAATGGCTGGGTGTATTATCCTTCACGAGGAATTGTGAAGATTGGGAAATAAAATGACTGATCATCAAAAAAGATCAAACTCGATAAAATGGAGGTATCAGAAAGATGGAGAGCACTCTGTAACATCTGGCTATAACTTCATTTACCACTAGGGTGTAGAACAAGCAGCTTCACAATAAATGTTGGGAACTTAAAAGGGCACACCAAGGATATAATTATGATAAAGATGACTTGTAGAACAGAGACACAAACAGTGATTACTCCAACTGGGCGGCATGAAAACAAATTAGAAACCTCTAGGAAGAGTTATAAGATGAAATTAGGACTGAAAGATTACAATATGGGCAGATTGAAGGAAATCTCTAGGAAGAGTTTCAAGATGAAATTAAGACTGAAGGGTGGCAACAGGAAGAAGATTAGAATGTCGGCAGATTGAAGGTCAGAAATGGGCAGAAGATTAGAAATGTAAGCAGATTAAAGATCAGCAATGGGAAAAAGATTATATGTGGGATCTACATATCGTTAGAGAATGTTGCATCGGAAAGCTCTTTGCATGTCTAGACAGCCTGGTTGATGATAAAGTACGTACTATTGCAGCATTTCTGAAATAATTAGAAATAGATGGAATCTACGGTTTCAAAGGAACTCCAATGACGAGAAAATAGAAGTGCGAATCTTTTGGTTTTAGAAACTGGAGAAAATAGTACCAGAGGAAAAAATGAATGAATCCATACAATAGATTGGCAGAAAAGATGGGAAAATTCTCAAACGAAACATGCTATCAGGTTAAACTTCTGAAAGAGGACATATGAAGTGGAAAATTGGCCATGAAAAAACATTTGGAAGACAACGGCACCGCCAAAACGGCTTCTTTTGAACAAACTGCAGTACTTAGAGCTTGTTTAACACAAAACAATTCACCGATAAGAGGTTTTAATCTCTTACTAAGTGCTATCCTTTGATGAGTCTACAATCAGTCAGTCATCTCCTTTTTCATTGTAGACAAGCAAAACAAGTCTAGACTATGTTACTGAATTTCAGAGGATGATGCCAGGAGATATGAAGCAAGAGATTCCTTCATTGGCAAGAAAGAAGCTAGGAAAGAGACATAAAAAACTGGGAAGTCCTTACTGCGATATCTTTGATGTGAAACCAGAAGATTTTGAAATTTCAAATTACGATTCATATTTAGTGCTGAACATGGAGAAGTCAACGTGCACATGAAGATTCAATTAATATGAGAAGTTCCCCGTAACAAGAGAAAACAAATAACCTGGCAAGTTAAAGAGAAATCACTTAGGCAAACAAGATTTCAATGTTTAAGGAATGGAGACCAGGGATAAAAAATATTAGGTGATTTTTTCTCATATGGGCTTTGGTGGGCAAAGTTTCAAGTAATTGTGCTGGTAGGAGATACTAGGTACACAGTGAAAGGACACCATTGTTGTAATTAAAAAAGTACATCGCTGTTTAACAAACATTTGCATACCCTAAAGTATTTTAGTCACCACTAGAAATTCCTGATTTGCTATCTGTCGAAGCCTACTTTGGTGGACTTGAAATTACAAATTACCATTGCCTTATGTTACTTATCCTAATAAACCAAACGCAAAGAATAACTCCTAGCAGGGATGATCAAGGATTCTGAATTTTGTAACCTCCGAGGGAATCGACTCAGTTGGCATCCAGAGGATTCATTTGGAAAGAGAAAAGAGAAATATCAGAAAAAGATAACTACGCAGCAAATTCAAAAGCAAGTGAAGTAATGTCTTATCAAGTGCAGTTACCGCGAAAAGCCTTTTGATATCCCCGCAGCCCATAGACATGCTAATACCGGATAATATAGGCACTATCCACAAGTAACAACTTCAAACAGGATTATACATTGAAACACCACTAATAATAGTCAATAGATAAGAAAGTATGTGTATAGTACACACACCACACACCAAAAGGTACAGATAAACACACATACCAAAACACTGAAGTTGTTTCATTTGGGATTAAAGGGAAGCAGCACAGGATGAGTACTGTTTTCTGTATTTTCCTTCAAAACAAGAACACAAAACAACATCTTCTGACACAGAGATTTTGCATCGTCAGCATACAACAAGTCAGCAGTAAATTGCAAACCATAAGCAGGACAGGGAAACTATAGTGATTTGCTTACCAAGTATCCTAACCAAATGATGAAATTATGGTCTGAAGAGCACAAAGGATACACCATTGTATCAGCAGATCTCAAATATAATACATATACATCTCACAGAGTTATTACAGAAGTGAATAAGAGTGTAGCTAGTCTCATCGAATTTGCTTTTTAACACATCGAGATCAACAAAGAAACAGAACATCCCCAGCCTATACTCTAGACACGCTAGTCCTTAGAAAGGAGGCATACCTGTCTCCAAAGACCTGCACCTTATGTGCCTTTTCTTCTCATATGGTGCAAAACAAGAGGTGTTCCTTCAAATAGATCCAACAAATAACCTTCTAAGTCCTCTAGAGTATACTTTATGTACTTCCCAGCATTTCTTCCACTCTCTAAATGACCCCCAAATCTTCCTAGAAATGAGCGATATGCAGGAAGCACCTTTTCAGAAATAGAAATCCTGAGTTCTTCGCGCAGTTGAGCATCTGGGACCTTCCAACCAGTCTGGATTCTGTAAATTTCTTCGAAACATGCGTTGAAGTTCTTAAACCTCTCCTTGAGGGCTACCTTTGAAGCATTGCTAGAGCTTCCGCTAAGCCCTTCATCTTTCAAACAAGATAAAACCTTGCTCCATGAAGCTCTAAGATAGCTTGTAGCATGTTGTCGAATCTGACCCTTCCGCTTTCTGACCCACTGATCACCTAAAAGTTTTTGAAGCTCTGAATCTTTCACTTTCTGAACGATGTAATGTACATTATTCATCAAAAATATATACGGCATTCCACAATCTTCATACATTCTCGACTTCCCCTCCAGATTACCTTCCAAAGACTTGATCAGTAACATCAACCGCCTGGCCAGTGGTGCAACATTCTCCAACTCCAAGTTATCACCATTATCAGCTGCGGAAGAGCCATATTCTGTGTCACTCTCCAACTTCTCTAAAAGTCCATTCAATGTATCACTATAATCAACCAGCAATTTCACATAATTCATAACATAACGAGTCAATGGATGGATTTCACCGCCTTGTGTTGGTTTCTTTGAAATCTCCCGCTCAACAGCATTTTCAAACTCCACAAATGTCCCAATAGCTGCTTCTCCTAGGCCATCTAACACCCCCTTTGCCTCACCACACACCAATTCACCATCTTCATCACTAAAAAGCAGCTCTATGTCAGACAAAACATCTGCCAGGGCATCATGCATATCCAGAATCCTAAATAACTTCTCAGACGACCTTCGCCCTATTGCCACAGCTTCTCCAAAATTCAAGAGCTGCATTACACAGCCCTTTGCAGTTTCCATAAAGCACACTTCTTTAATCAACTCCGAGTCTCCAAAAACCTGGTCACATAAGCTCTTTTCAGCAGATAGAAGAATCCTCACCAGAACTTTTACAGCATAAATCCATTTTTTCATTTTCTCATCCAGCGACTGCCAATCAATCCTATGGACCTCCTCAATGCTCAGTTTCTCAATGCCAAGAATTGCTAAACACTCGTCAAGCACCTCTCTGCGAACACTAGAGTACACCTGGCAACATTCCTTTTCATATCCAGATTTAATCATACGGTTAGCAATCTCTCTCAGATCAATAATAGCATCCGCATACACCAAATCAAGCGAGAAATCATCCGCTCCAAGGCTCTTCCCTTTGACATGATTGTACCTTGCACTGCTAACATCCTCCTGATCCTCAGACAAAGTACCTGTTTCAAAATCAGGAATTGCAACAGCAGATGAAGAGATAGAACAACGGCGAATAAAAGAGGACTCATGGAGACGGCTAGCATCAAAAGGAACAGTATTTCCAATGAGAACATGACGAAACTCCTCCTCCAAATGAGCCATAGCATGCTGAAGAGCAGCCTCAGCCCGGTCCATTTCGGGCGACAGAACACTCAGATCCTCAGTCTTCCTAATAATCTCGTCAACAGCGTTGAGATATTCAGAGGTGGATTCAGGATCGGCGTTAGGAGGAGAGTCCCATTCAAACACAAGCTTTGCAGCCTCTTCAAACACAAGATCAGTAGAAGAATGATCGGTTCCAGCAAGGGCAGCAGCTGATCTGGCGGATGTAGGAGTTGATGAAGATGAAGTGGTGGTCGTGGTCATCATATTAGAAAGCTTAGACAAACGATTATCAAAATTAGATAAAATCATAAGCATATCTTCCGTATCAACATTTGTAGAGGTGTTGAGACTCTTGACGATCTGTTGAGCTGCTGCAAGAACCCTATCTTGTCCTTCAATAGTCGCCGCCATGAACCCTTCTCTCCTTTCTCTCTCTATATCTATATGTATGTATAGAATTGAATTGATAAGATATATATATATATAATTGGGAAGAAGGGTTTTGAGAATTAGGGTTTGGGGAAGAAGAGGAGAGAAGGAAAGAAGGAAGAAATGGGGAATTTGGGGAAAATCAATTCAAACGTTGATTGTTGCGTTCCATTTCTGCTGCGTGCGGGGCGGGGCGGGTGTTTCGTTAGACGAATTGGGCTATTGCCTTGGTACTTCCAAATTCTATGATGATAAGAAGAAAAAAGAAACGCTCATTCCTCCGTTTATTTTTATTTGTTAAATATTTTTATTTTCATTAATCATTTTTAAACAAATTTAAAAAAAAATCGTATCAAACACACTTTTAGTTTAGGTACGTCAAATTTTTTACTCATTAGAAATGTTCCTTTTAGTTCCATATTCTCTCGTCTTGTATTAGTCTTCACTTTTTCCTTTATAATACTCTTTATGTTCACTTTCATTTGTTATGTTGTGCTTTTCGAAAATTATTTTAATTAATTTTTAAAGTTAATTAGATTACATTAATTCGATATTTAAAACAAAAATTTAGATATTTAAAACCTATATGAAAAGTACTATAAATTGCAATTTTTTGCATATCAATATGATGAAAAAATACATCTTAAATGTTAGTCAGAGTTCTTATAGTTTGACTCTAAAAATAGAAATCATGACAAACAATAATAGACGGAGAGAATATTCCTTAAGATATTATAAATAAGAAATATAATTTTACTAATTTACTTTTTTAATTTAATTATTTTTTTGACCCTTTACAAACTTAAGTGACTTCAAAAATGGATTAATTTTAAAGATAAAATAAATAAGCTATCGTTAATTTTATCCTGAATTTATAAATTAATAAGTAATTTAGAATAATTATTTATAATAATGTGAACAATTAATCTGAAACGAAAAAAATATAATAAATATTTTTTTTCATCGAAACAATAAAAAAGATTGGCAAGTAAAATATATTTATAAGAGATATTTGAAGGTCATATTCTATCGTTTCGTCATGGTTGTTCAATTCAATCAATTGGAATTTATCGTTGAGAAGTCAATTACGAAGCCTCTTATATGACTTTCTAATCGAGGAAATATAGTTTAAGACATTAATAAGTAGTCAAATCATATTTTTAAATATATACTTAAATTATCCTACTAAATAATTAAGATATACTTTTTGCATTATTTAGCTTTGACATAGTAAATTTTATAAAATTATTTAATTTGTCAACTAAATTATTTAAATTTATAATTTTGAAATTAAGATATTTTATTTACGAGATGGAATAAATATATACTTTATTTAATTGAATGTATAAATTTATGATTTATCAAAACTACTCCTTAGAAGTTTGGTCTAAACTAATTTTGCACAATTTGGTTAGTTTATAATAAGATCAGTTTAGTGGATCACAATTAGCGGTTGATTGACATATGTGAAATTTTATTCTCTAATTAAGATTCCCATTTGTCCAATACCAATAAAAGTAATTAAAATATATAATTAATTAGTATGTCATAATCTAGTTGTAATTATTTAATGATCCGAATTATTTTCGTCCACCAAACCGAGTACATATCCATTTGTGAGGTCAAATGATTTTTGGCTGTCCTATACTTTTTAAAATATATATATATTTTTAGGATTGGTGTGAGAAATTATAGTAGTTATTAATTGTGTGAAGAATATTAAAGTTATTAATTAAATGTGTCTTGATGACAAATTAAATGGATTTACTAATTACTGTGTAAATATATATTAAAATCATATTTATTTGTACTCAATAAATAATATATGTATTAGTAACTAAAGACTCGATCGTCAATAAGATTGAATGGTTAAAGACTAAACAAAATATTGTTAATATTATTAAAATGTTATTCATTCAATATTTTACCAAAAATATTTCATCGCCGCTCCATCCACTTTTGTCACTAATACAACTATCAATATCGAACATTGTCATCCACTATTATCACATAGTGTACGCTACTATCATCTTTAATAACAATCACTATCGTCATCAACCGTAACAGTCAATTATTACTATCACTAATCATCATCCTCAACTATAAACCAATAACCATCACCGCCATCAATAAATTATCACCACTCACTAGTCTATCATTTATAATTATCTATCACTAGTCAATATCTAGAATCATCACTACTAAAGTGCATAACAAAAAAATCATAGAATCCTACTAGATGTTATGAAATTTAGCTCAAAGGAGAACTTGCTTGTGGTACTATGAAAAAAACTTACTTGTATCGCGTGTTTACATCAAATCAATGTAATTTTTATTATTTGTGTAATTTAATGGTGTAAAATGAACAATAAGTTTCTAACACATGACATACATAAATTGACTTAATGTAAACAACCGGTGCGAATAAGATTTAACCTTACTTATTAAATTAAAATCACTTTACTCTTCTAAAACCATGTTATTAAATCAAAATCACTTTACTCTTCTAAAACTATATATCTTTTGGAATTCATTATGTCAAAAAACCAAACATAGAAAACATTAAAAGACAGATAAAAGTAGAAAAAAAGGCTTTGCATTTCTTTCAATTTCAACAGTGCCAAGAAGTGTCTTGTGTACAACAAAAGAGGAATCTACTTGTAAGAAACAACCCAAAATTACAAGAAACTCAAATCTGTAAGAAAACAACCTAAAATTTAAACAAAACTTCACACATGTTAAACTTATTAAGTTCATTAGGGAAGTAAAGGATAAACATAAAGTTCTTAAAGTTAGGGACTTGGGAATTAAACCCTGCTATTTGCTGGCAATGGCAAAACACCATCAAAGAAATCACCAAAGTAACCACGCGGCTCGTGTACTAGCTTTGAGATGATGTCTCTGAGTGTGATTACCCCCTCAAGATTTCCCATGTCATCGACAACATAGATCCTGTGGATCTTCTTTGAGTCGAGCTTCATGATAACGTCTTTAAGGCTGTCACCTCTTCTGCAAGTAACCATGTGGCTTAAGAACGGGGAGTTCTTTTCGTGCTCCCCCTGATACCTTCTAACAGATGTCAGGAAGTTCTTTGCTGTTATAGATCTGCAGAGTCATGACAACCAGTTAGGGAATGAGGATGATTTTCTCAACTAATGGTACTTGTAGTTTATGACTGAAATGAAATGATACGCTTGTTTGATCTTTCACAAGATGTGTGATCTGATGAATGTCATAAGACGAGACGTGCTTCATCGTGACATGTTAATTATAAGGAAAATAATTTCACATGATTGGTTCAGATTCAATAAAAAGAACGACAAAGACAAAACCGAGGACTTAAAACAGATTGTAGGCTTAAGATGAATATATGCAATTTAAAACATATTTAGATTTAGTGATTACACTATGTCTAGAGAAGTATGTAGTACTGCTTCCTTTTCACAGGACAGCCTTGAAATTATATTATTAGCTATGTGTGTTTTATCAAGTTACGGTAAAACACGTAAAACTATGAAAGTCGAAGCAACCTGTAGTCCTTGTAAATTTCGGGAGCAATCAGGAGGAACTGAATATCTCTGATGCTTATATTACCAATAGCCTTCCTGCCACCACTTTCAACCACGGGGACTCCTCCAACACCCTTCTGTCTCATCAACTTGAATGCCTGCAGCACTGGTTCATCCTCTTCCACCTGAAAAAAAGAACAAAAATAGAGCAAGTAGATTATAAAATGCACCACTCCGACGTGTTAAAGAAAAACTTGGTAGTAGAGACGTTTATGCGTTTTCGAATTAAAAGAAAGCAACAATAATAAGCATCAAAACATAGAATATCATGCAAGTTGCTGGTTAAGTGCCAAGAACATGGATGTTCATTGCATGTTTAATTAACTCTTTCGGGTGAGATCAAAATCTCTGGTCCATGGAAGATGAGAGGGCTACAATTAACAATAACGATGAGATTTTAAACTATTTGCTTGCAGTCAAACACGTCCAACAAGAAAACATAGGTTTCATCCTCTATGGGCTATTAGTAATGACTGCAGATACCTACTCAAGTCCCAAAGTCAACAAGGCGAACAATAACTACATTTGGAGAGAACCAAACCAGCGGGCAGACTTGATGGCAAATGAAGGTCACAGGCATGAAACAGATTTGCTTGTACGGGAAAATGCGATCTCAAGGACATAGAGTTTTTACTCCTGTCAAGCTGATGTGCTGGATCATAAATCATAATGTACAAAAAGCAAATATATACTCAAAGCAGAATCAGCAACTCACCATGTGATAGTTAGTGGATCATCAGCGGTGCAGCAGCCAAAGTAAAGGGCTCAGAAAAGAAGAAAATAAAATGAAACAAAATGGAGAAAATTTGTAAAAGCAAAATGAAAACATATAAATCAGACCATCCATCAGGTAACCATTTGCAGCAAATATGTACCAGGGCTAAGCACTCTAAATTTTTAGGCATACTAACTTCAAGCACTCAGTTTCGTACAACCAAATATATAATGAAGAAGTAGAAACACAAGCAATTTTAAAATTGAACATCTTTCTGCAAAATTTGCAATCGGATGAACCCGAGAGATGATAGGACAATAAAATAGTATATGTTCATAGATTGTGGAAAAGTTATTTCATAATCTGCAAAGAACAAACCACAAGCTCAACAGAAGAAGCAACAAAACTCAAAAGCTCATACCTGAATGATGCTACTTGGCTTCATTAAAGGAAGACCAAGTTCATACAATTTCTTAGAACCCCAGCTCTCGAACCAATGGAGACCAGCACATTCTTCTAGCATGTGTATAACAGCAGGTTGAGTTATGATGTTATCAATCTTATATTCCCCTAAATCAACCACAGGAACACTCTTCATCTTGTATTTAGATAACAAGAGAAGCATTGTCAGAAAGGAGTTCGATTTCTGCAAAGCCAGAAATGGAGCCCAGCGGAATGAACCTGAAATGTCCCGAACCTATGTAATCACATGTTAGTCAGGACATTTGCCCAAATAGACTTGTAAAACGAAAATCAGTAGATGGTTATGGAAAAATAACTAGTTGATTATAGAGAATAACCTTTGTGTTCTTGTAGAGATCTGACGAAGTTAATGTCTCAAAAAAGTTACCAGAAGTCGCTGTTGGAGATTCAGGATGCAAACTTCTGAATCTCGGAGAAGCGACTCCATTAACAGCTGCAGCCAAAGCAGGGCTGAG